TTTATATAGTATTTATACTATAGTTGTAAGCTATCATACCTTCACATAGTGCATTAGCAAATTCCCAAACAACAGAAAAAGGAGAATTGGAGGTCTGTGCACCATCCCAAGAATTTTCATAACCATAGAAGTCATAGAATGAAGTGAGCACGAATCTGATTGGTGAAATTAAATCTCCTCCACTCTATGGCATCTAACTGGAGTGTTACAAATGCTACAGTAGGATCTGGAAAATTCACAAAAGCTTATATGGACAACTTTGCCTTCATTTGTTTTTATGTCACATCTAAATTATATAAGCCTATTTTATTCATTTTCTGGCTATATAGACAGTGGAGATTCAAGAGCTTGATTTGATAACTGTGGCGTTTTAGTGATCTTTGCATCAGTCTCCTCATGTCCAACCCCTTTCTTTCCTTGTTTTAGAATCAGTGTGATTTTAGTACATTATGACAATTTCTTCAGTGTTTTACAAAACCTGCCTTTATTACTCCTTCCAAAGTCTAGTTCTCTGTAAATCTATCCATCCATCCCCATACCTGAAATATGAGCACTGTCAACTTATAGATCATCAAAATATATAGTGCTGTTAAAAATCACAAGTTGTGAAGTGGGAGGTGTAAATGCAGCAACACGGGTAATTTCTGGGTAGAAGGTTAGTAAGTCCATTGTAAAATATATTCTTCTTTCACATGCCTTTTACAAATTACAATAACAATTTCTGCTTGCCCTTTGGTGTTGCCTAAGAGGGACAAAGAATGGTTGGGAATCCTGCTGTTACAATAATTTCGTAGCCTTTCCCCCCTCCCTCACTGATAGCAAATCTTCTAAAAAACATGTGAACCTGAAAGTGAAGTTTTTTCTGAGTAAGAAAAAAAGTGTGGTTAGCTTGAAAAAATATAGTGAGGCTTAATCTCTCAGTTTCTGAGCCTAATCTCATTTATCTTCATTTTCCAAACACCACTTTTCAATTGAGTTAGAAGCAATGTGTTATGTATATTTTTCCTTTTTGATAATCAAAGAAATATTGACCTATTTTGAAAATACTTCTTCCTCTCACTATTTATAGCTTTCATTACTTCATTTGTTGCTATTTTTATGTACAAGAACTATTCAGAAACTTGAGCAGAATGTAATCTTAACTGAAGAGAACTGGACGTGCACCTCCAATATACCAAGTGACTTCAATTGGCACAGTTAAGGTCTATGCCTGCCTCTTTGTAAGACATTACCCAAGCAGAAGTCAGCTAATGGACCTTAAATGAGTGTGAGTAGTCTGCAAAGCTATGGAATATCATTACATGAATCTACTGTCCTTGAAGTCAGCAGAAAAATATTGCATCAGTTTCAGCAGTAAAAAAAAGGTTATAGTCAGGTTATTTTACATCTAGATCTTGGTTTCTTTTACCCCTGTAATTGAGCAGCGCTCTGTTCTCCTAGTATAGTTTGGTATATGGGTTTAATATAAAAGTAGGTTTTTAATGAAATTAAAAGACAGATTTCTTGGTGTAGCACCTGCTATATTACGTTCTACTTGGAGTGTGACTAGGGGTGTACCTCTGAAAATCCTTTGACTTTAGGAAATATAATTGTCTTCCTGTAAAATAACAAAAAAAGAAAAGGAAGAAAAATGAAAAATAAATGCTTTCTGTGCTGTCAAAATAGCTGTTATGCTAGGCTGGCTAATAATGTAATGTGAATGGATGGCTCTGTAGTGTTTTGGCAATTTCTTCATCAGTCTGATCAGAGCCCAGGTTACAGCAGCAAGGTTGTACCTTCTAATTCCCCGGTAAATGACCTGTATCTGTCTGTCTTTAATCAGATATTTCCCTTCATAATTCAGATCACTTGGAAGTTGCTGTGGGAAGGCATGTGCACACTCCTTTTGTCTAGTCAGTGCTTCATACAGGGACAACCTGTGTGGGGGAGAAGGGGGTTAAAATCGATTGTCCTGCAGAACATAATCACCTTTCAGTGGAACATCCATTGCAGTGTTCATGCCAAACCAATAGCAGTAGGAACAAACCAGCCTTTTGTACAGGCTTTCTGTTGGTGCCCTTTGCAGAAAAAAAATGACTGCTGCTGCTTTAAGTCATGGGAGCTCACGTTTGCTGTGACAGCTTTCCAATTGTTAAATAAACTCTGACCATGAGCAGCTGTCAGACAGATATTGCAGGCTTCAGTTAAAAGGAGCACCAGCCAAGCATTTCAGTGCCTAAAGGGTCCTAGTTAATTTTTTTTTTAAAGACTCACAATTAAACAAACAAACCAACAAACAAATAAAAAAAAATACAATGAGATAATGTGGTTCCTTAACTGAAAAAAAACAAACCCACAACTTTTATTTTATACATTCGATGTCATTTTCCAGTGAAAGTTACAGAACCTGAGTGTGCCCATTTCTGAAAAACAGCCTGTGAGGAACATGAAATTTCTCAAATGTACACTTTTGTCTGGTGGCAAGGTAGGAAACTGAAATGCAAAAATACTGACATTATACTTTAAAAATAATACTAATAATATATAAATTCCTGTGGGAAGGCAAGAGGAATTATACTGAGCTTCCTCAATGTTGTAAAATGTCATTTTATCATTTGTTCTTTCGATAGTAATCTAACATAACCCTTCTGAAGTTATTACTTTTTACCCTCTGAACAACTTGAGGTAGTTGAACATGTCCTTGCTCATTGCAGGGCGGGGTTGGACAAGATGACCTTTAAAGGTCCCTTCCAAGCCAAACTATTCTATGATTCCATAATTCTATGATGATGTTGGACCCTGCTGTACAGGAAAGCAAAAAAAAGACAGTTTTCACTCCGGAAGGCCTAACAAGCTAAGATGAATATGCAAGAAAATAATCTTTTAATGTAAATATACAGTCAGTATTGGAAGAAGCCTTATTATTTACATTTTAGTTACAGATGGGAAGAGAAATTGTCATTAAGTTAGGAAGAAGGTGAACTTCTTCCTATTCCAGTTTAGAAACTGATACTGGCTGAGGATAGAGTGAGTCAGCTCTGGAGATACCTTTTTCCATTGACTGAAGCAGAAGCCTAGCTTAATCATAAATTGAAACAAAACAAAACCAAGCCCAAAATAAAAGAAAGACTAGTCTCATGACTAACCTCGAAAAGTAAGTTGTGGGTTAATTGTGTGAAGACAATTTTAGACAATATATAAGAAGTATTTATTGAAAAATCAATATTTTTGCAAGTTAAAGGAAAAATTATCCATATTTGATTTACAAGTAATAGTACTAATAGGTAATTACTGTTTTTAAGGGTAACTTCTTCCAAAATTTCAAATTTAACTAACTAGATAACTAGCTAATTGTTTTCAAAATTCCAGTTTCCTTTAAGTACAGAGAGGAATACATTCAGTAAAAGTACAGAGCAGTGGGAAATGGAAAAAGTCAATTTAAAAATCAATCCTCCCTGATTTTTTTCTATCGACTCCTCTTAGAAATAACACCCACAATTTTTATAACTGAAATGGATTGTAAAAAAAAAAAAATCTCAGTGTGTTCAATTATTTATTTTATGCTTTTGAAAACACTTTTGGGTAATGGCTTTCACTTTTTCACCTTTCATATACCTCATTCTTTCACACAGAAAAATAAAAACCATTCAAAAATGGAATATGATAACATTTTCTTGGTTTTGCTCATACTTGTGCTTGTGAGTCAATTCTCTTCTCATGTGATGGGTTAAAAACCACGGTAAACATAATGCACCATGATTTTAAACAGACTGATTTCTATACTGAACTAAATGTTTATACAATATAGGGCTTTGTGGAGACTTGAACCAGGAAATTAATTTATCTCAGTTTTTGGAAAGCAGATTTGGGAGTACTAAAACAATGATGGAATCAGTTGCTGTAGTCAATGAAAATATAGTTTTCATGTGTGAAGGAAGCATGAGGAAGGATCCTTTATTAAAAGTAGTCAACTTGCAACTCTATAATAGAGATTGTGCTCTTTAAAGATATTGGTATTGGATTAACAGAAAATGTATTAATGGCCATGGAAAGAAGGAGTAAAATCAATCTTCTATCTTCTTTCTTAGTCTTCCAATTTTTCCATATTGAAGTAAAAATGGAATCTCTCTTTTTCCTGTCTTTCCTTTATTAATGAATAATCCCTTGGGTATTAGATAAAGGCTAGGAAATGGCTAAATATATTTATTTGTTCCAGGTTTCAGAGCAGAAAGCTGGCATAATGACAGGGATAATGTCAGAGATGAGTTGGAGATGGAACTTTCTGGCTAGGCAAGCTACACAACCTTCTGGACACGGACCTAACTGGAATAAACGTGTACCATGGCTCCTTCCCTGCTACAGAACATGGCATGGCACAGAAACTGTGTTGGATCCAATGCTTTTCCAGAGAGTTGCGTTTGCTGGGCATGGAGAGTAGAGGATGCACGGCAGCAAATCACCTGTTCCCTGGTGACAGCAGCCAGGAGCAGATGCGCCTTCCCAAAATAAGTGATGCCCACTGCTACCTGTTGCTGTTGCTTCCTTGAAGTGTCTGGAGAGGGGCTACAGGCCAGAAAGTTTAGTCAGGTTTCTAAACCTGCTCCCAATTGACTGTTTTTCTCTGCTTGTGCTGTCTGTTGGGAGAGGGACCTTGAGGCCCTCAGGAGAGGCATTGCTGGGAGTGAGCTGCAGGTCAGGCTGGTTGTCCTGGCAGGCAACATTCCAGCTCTGTTGAGGAGATCTTTGCTACAGCTTGGCTACATAGATAGGATAGCATGCTTGGTTTCCACCTGACTTAGCATGGTGGCCACTGCAGAAAACTGTATCAGAAGATTCAGGTCATCAAGACTGGGTAGAGGATCTATTGAAAAAACCCTCAAAGACAAATCTTTTGTGTTTTGTATTCAATTTTATCAACATATTCTGAATTTTTTCCCTTTCCTTGTGCTATATAATTGCATGTGATTTCCACTTGCCAGTGATCCGATTGGATGTCTCTCTTTTCTTTTTGGTTTCTGTAGGATAAAATCATGGGTAGATAAGATGCAAGAAGATCTTGTAACACTGGCACGAACCGCAAGCGGAGTGGAACAGCTTGCTAAGGTAAGAAGACACACCTCAGACTGCAGTAACTAGGAAGTGAAGTGAAAGACGTGAATCATCTGGGCATTATGATCATTTCATCGCAACATAGTAAAATGATTTTGGGGAATTAAACTCTGCAGTGCTTACTGAGAGAGAAATGAATAATAGACATCCATCTATTCACTTGCTCATAGATAATATTTAATCAGCTCTGCAGTATGAGACATAAGGCTTACCATTGTTGCAACACTTCCACCTGAAGCAAGGGCTTTTATGTTCTATGTTTGTCAAATACGGTATCCAGGAAGCAACCATTCACAGCAGTGGAGAATTCTGCTGTCTATTAACAAGGCAGCCTATTTTTCTGACACATATTTTCTGAAATGGGGCAGCTTCTGGTTAGCAGAAACATAGATGAGAATGAAAACTACTTTTGTTCAGCTCTTTGAATTTAACACAAAGTTTGGTTTAGGGAAGAATTTACAAATCTTTCATCGAGAAGATTTTTTATACGCTATGTTCTATTTATAGAAGGCAACAACAAATCTGACACTGCGGAAAAGTGAAGTCACAATTCAGAAAATGTCAGGATTACTCTGCCTATACAACTTTGTGTGTATACATCATGATCTAGTACACAACCATATGATTATACATTTCCCTCTCCCTATCCCTGCACAAGTACCGTGTCTACTTCTGTGAGCTGATGGATATCTGAGTTGATGCGAGACTGTATAATGAAGGGAAATCTTGCTGTTACATCAAGAAAATAAGTTATTGTCAGCCAACAAAAGCCCCTGGTGCTAGAGAACTGAACATGAAGCCTTGAGATTTGGTTTCCAGAAGTCAGTCTTCCCAAATGATCCCTAAAATGGGTAGTAGCTGTGTTTCAAAACCTTTAAGAAGCACACAGAAGAATCTTTACACTCATAAAGTTTCTCAACAGTATTCCTTTGACCTTAATGACTCTTTTCCCACATGTTTTGTGTGAATCCTGTCCCAGAAGGACATTTTATCTTTACTGACTCTAAGAGGAGGCTAGATGATTAGCTCACATGTCCATGTTTACAACATGGAAGCATCAGTTCAGATGAGATCACCACTGGCCTTTCCTAATATTTGAGTGCTTCATATTGCAACACAATGTAGGGCAGATGCTTTAGATGCACTTTTCAAACTTCGAAAGCCCCAAACAAACTGAAAACAAAATCTTGAAATCCTAAGACAAATCAACGGATTCATACAAGCATGGGTTTCCAGCACAGGATCTCAACAACACAGAATGTCTAGCACTTGAGCTTCCTGAGGAAGCCTAAGGTTTACCCAGCATGGAACACTGATGGGAATTTTTGTAGGTGGATTTCACACATATCTGCTGACAAAGAACAATAAGGCTTGCAAATGATCAGTATCCAGGTTTTGGTGGGGAGTTTCTGCTAAGAGTCCTCTTTGCTCATCTAATCCAGGTTGATCTGGTCTCTTCTGCACTTGCTGTGTCTCTTTTTCCCTACCATCTCCTCATTCAGCATCATACTGCTGATCTCATATGCAACTTTCCATTCCATTCCTGCTGGGTTGCTTGGCTATCTTTCATCTCTCCTCAGCCTATTCTATGTTTCTGTCTCAGTTCCTGCCTTTGCTGCTTGGCCAGTCTGCCTTTCTCCTTTACATTCATTTCTTGTCTCTATTTTAGGATCTCTCTCCTCAGCTTTTTCCAGATCAGCACCTCTCTCTAGACTCTTTAACTTGTCTTAGCATTTCCAAACCATTCTGTCCAGTGTGTGTGACCAGCCTGTCCCAATATTTCTATCTCTTCTCTTTCAAAGGAATTTCTCTTCTCTTTCTCACATTTCTTCTCCATCCTTGTTCTCAGTCCTGTAGTTTTCTCCTGTATGATTTTTCTATTTCTCTTTCCCTTCCAGTCTCTTCTCTCCTTATTCTTTGCTTCCCATTTTCCGGTCTGTTATCTCCTACTTCCATTTCCCAATCTCTTGCCCTTTGTACTTCATTCAGTCTTCCTCTCCTCCTCCTCCCACTGCACAGACCACATGGGTGTATAGGTCACCTGAGAGACCACAGCAAGTCTGATCTTTAACTGCAGAGGAGGTGGGACATTCTCTGGGAGTGATGCTCTCTGGGTTGGAATAAACCTGTGTGTAGGATCCCACAGACTTAGCTGATAGAATCGCTGGAGTGATCTGTAGGTACTTTTCAGGCTAAAATTTTTAAACACCAAAGACTAAAATGAATCTTTGAGTACACAGTGTTGAGGTTTTAATCTACAATGCAGAGGCAATAGGAAAATGAGTTACAGAGGATTTCTAACTTGAGCAAAACAATGAGTTAATCTCTCAATCATTTTGCCAGCCATTTCCATGCGAAGACACATAGTAAAATAGATAATGAAAAGCCAAGAAACTGATGCTGTCACTCTTTTTTTTTCCCTGAGGAAAATGTTAGTTTATGTAGTTAATATTCGGCAAACTCACAAGCTGTTTAAGCAGTCTTATAATGAAGACTGGTGGTCAAACCTGATAATCTGTAGTGCTACCAGCTTTAGTGCAGTGACATTCATGTGGATAAAAACAAAAAACATGTGTGTGAATACTGTAGGTAAGTTTAATTTTGAAAGCCAGAATTTATAATACACTTCAAGCAAATAATGTTATCTCAGAGGATATTCACAAGATGGTTGATATGTGTTTGTAATCCTAGGATTAAAAGCATGAAAGGGGGATGTTTCCATGTAAAATATGTCTTTATATCAAAGCCATTTGTTTGACCTAAGTTGCATGATGTTTTTCTCTAGCCACAAGGTTTTAATTAGCTCTCTTGCCTGCAAGGGAGAATGCAAAGCCCTGAGAGGTGTGAGCCGTGCAGTCTCTCTCATTGTCCTTTTGTTTACAGGCTATTGTCACTTTCCCATTTTTAATGACATCCTTTTTTTCTGCTCGCTGCCTATTAACATTTAGTCAGATCTCTCCTGAACCAAACCACAGTCTTGGAAATATGAAGACTACAATACATGAAAAACATCATGCCTGCATGCTTATCACTTTTATTCACAGAACTTGCCTTCAGTTGCTCAAGCTTTAAAAATACTTACAGCCAGATTGAATTTTCAGCTTTTTTTCTGATTCAGTTCTTCTTCCAACTCCAGAATTGTTTGGGCCAAGCCTATAGTCTTTATGTAAACTTAAAAATGAAATACATTTGTTTGACTTTTCTGCCCCTTCTCCTTCCAAAAGTAGAATGATTAATACAAAAAGAAGGAGCAGAGTGCTTCTATTGTAAAATAGTAAACATGACTTTCTGTCAACAGCTGTAATAATCAGATAGACTTTTGGTGGGAGAAATGTCTTTCCTTATTCTAGGGAAAATTAATTTTAATTTGGCCAAGTGTGAGGTTAAAGCTCTTGGCAAGGACGTGTAACCATTTCACAACCTGGTCAACCTCTCCCTGGACTCAGGGAAAGAATTCCCACTAATTCAGCTGAAGTTACAATCTGTCTCTGCTTCATGCAACTGAGTCTTCTATGAAGTTCTCTAAAATGACCAAGATAACTCTTGAAGTAGGACAATTAATACATTATCAACTGGTGTGACTTAATTCTTCATAAATCAAGCAGGGCTTTTTCAATTAGCTACTTTGCTATGCAGGTTCATGGTGCTCCCATGACTTGTTGAAAGTCTCTTAGAGTTCATCGGTGCTGTTTATGCCTCTATGTTCATTAATGTCTTGGGTCTTTGCGCTGCAGGGAATTATACTACACAATAGTCTCTTCTGGAGAACTGTAAAATATTTTTTTCTGACCATGATGGAGAGGGATAGGAGCACTTCCTGAATTCTCAATAATTTAATTTTAGAGTGGGAAAGCTTTTGACCAGAGACAATGTAAAACTTCCTATGTACTTACAAAGGAATAAAAAAATTAAAATCTGGATGACCATTAAACTTAGGTGAGAGATGTGTTGGGTGAATAGCTGCCCTGTTGAGATCAGTACCTATTTAAAGGTCTAATTTACTCTGTGCTGTGGACATAGATAACCAGGGAAAGCATTATTAGTATTTAAGGTGTTTGCATTCAATATGTACTACATTTCATGGAATCGTGTTTAAGGAGAAGAATCTCCTCAGAAAAGAATTCCTTTTTCTTTGGTCATTGACAACTTTCTTACAGTGACTTGGAATCACAGTCTTGTCCTAGTGACTAACCACTCTTTCTCTTGCTTTTGCATTTATAATACAGCCATTTTAAACCATTGCAACTCTCATTAATCACAACTTTTGAAAATATCTCTACAGTGAGGATACAATATAATATATTAATGAATATTCCACATAATGCTTAAAAAGAGGAGTTTATTTAGTGAATTACTTCAATGATTCTGTCTCTGAATATATGAATATGCTTATGCAAACAGACATTCCGCATACCTTTTCTCTTGTTGGGAGTGATGACAGCAATATAATGCCTATAGTAAGCAAAACTGTAAAAGAAAACTTGGATGCCATTAAATTAAATTTATTTAAATGAGGCTACTAGCCTTAACCAGGTAAACCAGTATATCTAGAGTAGAAGAGACAGACAAAATGGAGGTGTGTAGGAGATGGAGAGGCAGGTGAGAGCTGAGGATTATTGTGGTGTGCAAAGGAAACATGATCTTTAATTTACAAATGTACTCACTAATTGATATTTGCCATACAGAGAGAATCCTGATCCAGCCAGGAGTTGGGCTTTGATTTTCATGTTTCCATTTAGACCTTTAGCTCCAGAACATTCTTCCTCTGAATTAGTTGTGGTAAATTATTACTTTGGCGGTATGAATCAACACTACTACTAGTAACATCTAACTGTGAGTTCCATGATCATGTTTAAAGTGTAGTTCCTCCTTGTGTCCTTCAGGTCTTATTTACACCATCTGGGAATGGTCTCAAAATAGTCTTCCAAAAATAGCTTTAAGGCACATATTTAAATCCTGCTTTTTTGGACATTGCTAGGAGTTTAGGTGAGATC